CGCCCCCGGCCCGCTCCTTATTCTATACCCACCGTTTATTATTTTCCAGCTTACCATGGCCCGCGAGGATCTTAATGTGAAACATTATCTAGAATCTAGATATCTGAATGAAACTTCTTTTTTGTTGTTGTTGTAAATGGCAAATTACCCTCAGTATAAGTACCGGTACCGAGTTGTCTACCTCAATTTTCTGTGCATTTTTTAAAAAGTCTTGTACATTGGATTATATTTTTTCAATAATGAAACTGGTTTGTTCCTAGATTCTAGATGGGAAAACCCGCCACAGTAACTTACTAAAATCCTCAAAATTTTATGATCTCTTGTTCTTTTATTCTCTGAAGGAAAAATAAAACAGATTTGTTCCTCCTGGTTCCAGGTACAGGGGTATGAATATGCCCCCCTCCCCCCACTGTTTATTAGTTTTTAATCACTTGTCCTCCCCCCCCCCCTTTTTTTTACCGATACCTCAGAGTGTGTGAATTACTTTCGTCAGCGTTCTATGTACGGGCGTGATGTATCGAGCACTTATCTCATTTGAGGGCTCTCTAAGCAATTAGTGCACCTGTATGTGAGGGGAAAAAGGGGAAGCATGCCAGTTTGTCACAAGCCCATCCCGCCTCGACTGTGCCCTGCATGATGGAAGTTATCACTGACACTCTAAAAAAAGTAAATGAATGGTTGATTGATTGTATGATTCGAATCTTATTTTTAAATTCTGTTTGAAGAAAGAACATTCATTTAAATTTTGCAGAGTAATTTCCTTTGATTTGCATACAAAAAGGAAGAAATATTGAAGAACACAAGCTGAATTGAAATTTTAGAGGGACTATCTCTACACCACCAGTTTGAAGGTGGAGAATAAAAAACTTAAGTTACAACTACAGTGTTAATAGTGCTGTAGTTCTGATAAATTGGGCAGCCTCCCAGAAGGGCGGTTTTCTTTCTTTCTGTTGTTGTTGTTTTTTTTTTCGAAAACGGAGGGGAGGGAAGGTTTTTTTGTTTTTTGTTGTTGTTTAGTCTTTGTGCCTTTTTCAGGCGGAAGAGGTCGACTGGGAGGACCAAAGTGCTCATTAAAAAAAACCAAAAAAACTTTCAACGTAGACGCACGGACTTTTTTTTTCTTAAAGTAGAAGTTATAAACGTCTGTTGGGCCTGACGGTGAACTTCGTGATATTAAGCTTACAAACAGTATCTCATCTTGCCTTTGTTTGTTTGTTGGCCTACTAGTTGTTGGTATAATATTTCTAATGCATAGCCCACCAAACAAGTTTGATTTTCTCTCTCTCTCTCTCTCTCTCTCTCTCTCTCTCTCTCTCTCTCTCTCTCTCTCTCTCTCTCTCTCTCTCTCTCTCTCTCTCTCTCTGAGTGTGTGTGTGTGTGTGTGTGTGTGTGTGTGTGTGTGTGTGCTAAAAGCCGAGCTATTACTTTCACTTCTGGTCCGAGCGGGCACTCAGGCACCAGCACTGACCTTATTTGTCCGGCCCTCACTCACTCACAACGAGCCAAGGGACACCACTCTAGTCTCCCTAGTGAATAATAATAATAATAATAAAGCATCGACCTGGCAAGTGTTTGTTTAACCTGTTTAAGTTGTTATGCAAGGCACGCACGTTAACGACAGAAGAAGCTCCCAGGCTTGAAGTGGCAAAAATTGACACGGTCTTGGCACTGGGACCAAGTGACATGACCCAATTGTAAATACTCAAGGAAGAATCCGCGGGATCTTTGAAAATAATATGAAGGAGGTGAACGACTTGCCTTGCGTTTTTTCAGAGTTCCTCCTGTACCGTCATGATCAAGAACAATAAGTCTAGAATCTAGATCTAGATCTAGATTAGATTATGGTATTAAAGTGGAGTCGGAAGAACCCCACTCCGATTTTATTGTTTAGCTTGATTGAGGATTTCGAGAAACTGCTTTTTTCTTCGCTGATAAATTAAAACCTTTGTTTAGTTTATGAAAATTAATCGTTTCTCTTAAACTTAATTGGAATTTGTTTTGTTTGTTTTTTCAGTCACTGCTAGAGTGGAGTCTATGTATGGGGCTCTTTGGAATTGCCTTCCCGTTTGTTTACATAAGAAACATAAGTGATTGCTAAGGACAAAAGTGGCCATGTAGGCTAAGTGAACCCTATACCACTTTAGCCAGTAATATGATATATATATATTCTGCCTTTTTTGGGCGGATTGAACTTTGGTGGACACTCCGTGTTTACATTTATAATACGCACTAGCCATTACGGTGGGGGGTTTCATGGGGGCTTGCCTGATCCCTGGTAAAAGTAATAATTTAAAAAATCCCACACAATCTGCACGTTTATAGGCAAATTATCAGTTGGAACGGGAAGGCAAATTCCAAAGAGCGCCCGTAGTAATTACAATATTTAATTTATATTATATATATATATATATATATATTATATATATATATATATATATATATGAGAGAGAGAGAGATCTATTTGTTTTTTTCAGAGTTATCAGAAAGGGGGCTCTATCATGGTCTAGATTCTAGATGGTGTTCACCTCTCATTCTATAGATCCCGGGTTCGAAAATTGACAGTTCAGAAATTTTTCTTCTTTAAAATTAAAATGTATTCCTTTCTGCTCCTAGACTCCAGCTTTCTAATCCTGTTATCTCTTTCTTCTCTACTTTTTCCCCCCCTCTTCTGGGCTCCTGAATCTTTCTACTGCTACTCCTGGTTCTTTCTTAACTGCTGTCTTTCACCCACACCCCTGATCTTAGGGTAGGTAAGATCGTATGCACATACCTAACCTTTTTGGATTATGAGGGCAAAAATTCTCGTGGGTCTCAAATGCAAGTTGCGCATGTCAAAGATCCCTTGGTGATTCTAAAATCGATAAGAGTAGGCTTTGGCCGCCATCCAGGCAAAATTCAAAATTAATTCAGGCAAACTGAAAAAGCTTATTATATTGTGACCTCCGCAGTTGCGAGTGCTGTAAAACACTTAAGATAAAAATAAAACAGTAATCGGAAAAGAGCCTTTAAATAATCTTACTTATGTAACATAAATTATAGCCTTGTGTAAACAGTACCTAAAAATAATAATTCAATATTTTTGAGACATACAATCTGCTAGTCCATGCATGCCAATCTCTCTCATTTTGCCCCAATCCATGCAAATTATTGTGGCCAAAGCATCTCAGAAAATTTTATTTCCCCGAGCTGAACAAATGGGGCTCTTTGGAGGGTCTCAATAACATTTTTACATAGGATTTTGGGTATGCCAAATTGAAGAGAAAAAAAGTCAGTGACATGGGTAACACTTTGCCACCTCAAGTCTCATATAGTAAAAAACCTTGCCATCAAAGGCATTTTGTGGGAAGTCCACAGAAACTGGGTTGTAATTATCGCCGATTGGCATTTTAGGACATGAGTGGAAGTTCAGCGTTCTTGCCGATCGGCGAGATGTGACGACAAAGTGTTAAAGCACTTATAAAAGTTCACCTGCGGAACTGTAAATCCTCATTAACTCCTTTTTTTTTTCTCATTCAGGTTTTAAGAAATTTGTCTGACACGTAAAGATCATCATGAGTGCTGTCCGCACTTGGATGCAGATTTATTTGCTGTGCTTCCTGACTTTACAACAGCAAACAAGAGTGTCTTCAGTTGACCTCAAGATCCCAAGATTTGAGAAATTTGATGAGCTGAGACAGAGGGTTGAGGGACACAGAGCTGCTGACTACCTGCTACTGCCACATATCTACAGGTATGTCACGTGTGTGTGTGTGTGTGTGTGTGTGTGTGTGTGTGTGTGTGTGTGTTTGTGTGTGTGGGTGTGTGTTTGTCTTTGTGTGTGTGTGTGC